ACAAGCAGATGTTCGAGAATACCGATATTTGCATCGCCGTTGGTTCGTGATGGGGGCCTAGAAAGAGTATCCACCTGTGCCGGAAAGACTGTAGTTATATGGTATGGATAGTGCAATTTTCGAACTGGGAATAAAGCAATGTCTCTATATGCGGTCTTTTACTTCGTTACAGGTGGTTATTACGAGTTGTATAATAAGACATACCTCAATAACAACAAAACCATGTTCCATGTCTTTGAATGCTTTCTCCTTGGCAACCCATCGAAGCCATAGTCGTGGAAACCAATGTCCGAGAAGACCAAGGATACCAAAGGTCAGTACGCAAGCCATTCGCCATAGGAAATGCCGTATTGTGACAGTTTCAAAACCAATGAACCGAATATGGACATCTTCATCTGTGATATAAATGGTCTGCCTGCTCGGGGGCCCTGGCGGTGGTGGATCATGCAAGTCAAGTTCACCCATATCAATGCGAGCTTCATCTCCAAATATTGGATCGCCCGGGCCAGTCATGGTATGCAGTGCCAATCCGGGAGAAGGTGGATAAGAGTCTTCTTCTATAGAGTGGAAATCGACAGAGTCGCTGTCTCCTTGTCGGTGGTCGTCTGTAATATCTGACTCGGAATCGTCTTCCTCCTCGGAAGCGTAACCCCAGCGTTCGTCCTCGTCGTCAGATTCAATGGCATAGTCAGATCCTGCGTCAGACCGTCGACTAGAGGTTCTCCGGAGCAGTCCCGTTCTGGATGATCGGCTGGACAAGGAAGGACGCCTGCTGCGCGGGGGTGACTCGGTTGTGGGAACCGCTCTCCCAAACATGCTTGCTATATTGCCAAAAACTGACTGTCTCTGCGGAGAAGTCGTCGACTTTCTCCTCGAACGTCGCAAGGTAGCATGGTCTCCTTCGTCTTCTACTTCGTGGCCAGGGTCGGTATACTCATCTTCAGACCTGGCCAAGGACGGTAGACTGTCGCGGCTCGCCCGAAGACTCCTCGAGCTAGAAGTGTCTCTGCCCCGATCTTCACTCCTCCGTCTGCTCTGAGAACCTCTTGACCGACCCTCACTACTTCTTCGACCGTGTTCTGAAAGGGTCATCCGCGACACACTACTAGGATTGACAGTGTGCCCGGGTCCGTCGAACATATAGCCCCCCTCGCCATATTGAGAATCCCTGCGTGACCGTCGATTGCTATTGAGGACATCTTGTATGTCGACAGCAGAAGCACCCTCTGTGTAGTCATGGTTCTGAGATGAGGAGGAATCGGAGACCATATCTACCCATTCAGAGGGTGAGCGAAGTCTGCGGATGGCGATAGCTGAGTTGATCACTCGAGCGCCTACATTTTAAACAAACGTTTGCAAGCGGCAAAATCACGAAACATCACCACCGTAAGAGAGATATGTGTAAAAAGAGAATATTGAAGATGTAGCAAGGGTAAAGTAGGAAGATATAGACAGTGTTCGATAAATACACGGATATCGCTAAGAGACCAAGACCAGTCCGTTTGGTTGCACAAGCACTCAACCAAGGTATCTCCATATTAGGTAGAAACAAACAAAGGTGAAGAGAGCACCTGCGAGAAAGATATACATGTCTTGCGTGCTATCAAAAATCCTTGGTCAGCAGATATGAGTATGTGATAAGATACCGACGGACCTTCTCCTCTCAATCCATCCAATAACATCTCTGCTAAGGCCCAACGTATTCGCAGCATCGAGTAATCTCTTCTGAGTCCCTTTGAGGACGGTCCGTTGATCCACTAGATCATCGAGAACTGCGCGACCTTGCGCCAGGAAGTCGTCCAATCGAGCATCGGTATTGTGGATGAACGAGTGTTCCCGTAACGCATAATCTTCTCGTAAGCTAGACTGAGGGAGTGGCGTTGGGCCTCGGAAAGGCGATTCGGACACTTCAGAACTTGGTTGTTGGCCAGTCAGGAACCGCCGGCGTGAGTCCCCGTGTGCAGGCGAAAGCGGCACTGTGGACGAGGATGACGCAGAGAATAATTCTGAACGGGAGGCCGTCTCTCGCTAGGAGATGGCATAAGTTGCGTGACCAAGTCCTCAAGAAAAGTCAACTTACTTCACCCTTGATCTTTTCAAATTGTGTTCGTAGTTCCGCATAATCGCTTCGGAACTTTTGGACTCGCCTAAATCACACAATGTGAATAACGTCTGCGTAGTACACCAGGAAGGCGGCCTCCCGGCATGTTGTGTTATAATTACAGACACGTACATCATAGCTTTCTCCTGCTTCGCCTTGATGATCTCCCTCTTTGCCATAGAGTCATAATCGTCTACGGTCCGACCCATCGCAGCAAGGGATGCAGATATCTGCCCTGCCAAACGTCAGAATGTGTTACTATACCCATTCTCTGGCTGGACGTTCACCACTTCAGAGAGAACAATGATGCAGACCTAGCAATGCTGCCGACGTGTCTCCATTACGCAGCCGTTCCAAGTCGGCTTGTATGGAGTTGGTTTGGCGGACACCGAGCGTATACAGGGAATTCATGGTAAATAAATGAAGGTTGGCAGTAGAAGCTAGTTGCTGTCTTGAAGCAGGTCTAAAGCATGGTCGCGGTGAACGTTGCAAGTGGAACTGGGATTGTCGCTTCAGCCACTGTGCAAATAGACATCAACAAAGATCGCTCAAGACTAAGATCAACTTGACTTGGTCGCTTTCAATGTCCGGATGAGTTCATCGCTCACATCTGACAGTGTCTAAAGTCAACATGGATGATACTACGGAGGAAAATTCTCAAAAGGTGTCTCGCGGCCTCTGTAACTTGCCGTCTGGATCCACACTAATCTCGGACCCAGAAGAGGAGGTCGGCACTTGTCCTCAATCCTATATGTTGATTCATTTTGTTGAAGTTTGTTGCTTGAATACTCCGTTCGGCGCAGGTGTTCCTCCTGTACACTTCTTTAGCCGCAAAGAATGTCCAAGACAGTAGCCACGCTTTTCGCGGCCTCGGATACCTAGATTCTCATCGTGATATCCTTACGCTCGAGTTCACGGTTCAGATACCTGGCTCACGGCCAGACGCGGGGCAAAGTCGTACTAGACGAAAGGCTATCAAAAAGAAGATAGAGGAGAAGACAATCGAGGTGCAACTCGCCCAGGATAAGACTGCTTTGCACAGTCGGAAGGGGGATACCGGAAGCGTACTGTGGAGAGCAAGGTGGATTAAATGCTGAAACTTTACTGTCTGCCTTTTCTAACAACACTCCAGCATGGAATTCACGCAGCTGATATTGCAGCAATATCATTCCCGCTCGCCCGAATCGCTTTTGGATGTTGCAAAGTTGGCCGACGCACACATATTGGAGCTAGGGTAAAGCTCTTTCCTTCTACTTTCTTGGCTTTTTCAGTGCTGGACTCATTCTCGATTTTTGAAAGAGCTGGGACAGGTCTTCTGAGTATCCTGCTATCTCCCTTGGTCCGACATTACACTGTGACAGATATCGACGCACTGATTCCGCTCATTTCGAAGAACCTTGTTTTGAACAGCCTGTTAAGGGACAAGGGATCAGGACATTTCACAGGTGATACCATAACGGTTGAAGCTCTTGATTGGATTGCTCTACACAAAGCCCCTGCCTCATCCCGTCGAACGCTATTCCCGTATGCTCCTATTGATCTCCTACTCGTCGTTGACTGTATATATCATCCTTCGTTACTGCCGGCATTGGTTGAGACAATCGACTATTTAGCCACACCGAACTATACGGCCGTATTGGTAGTTGTAGAGCTCAGGGCGGAGGATGTAGTTAGGGATTTTCTGGAACTTTGGTCAGGAGCGGGCGAGGGATGTTGGGAGATTTGGCATGCACAGAACGTTATGGATGGCCCGTACGCGGTATGGCTGGGATGGAAAAAATTGCCAAATAAATAGTCCATGATATTATCCCTGGATCTCATAAATTTCTGCCATTCTCTCGAATAAACGGTGAGGTCGAGCCTGTATGAGGGCTGTACGTACAGTGATAGTAGAAACCTAACGCTTCCCTCGTCCACCTATTTTCTTCCTTGATGCCTTCCCACCAGCAAGTTGCGCCTTTTCTGTCCTACGCTTTTGCTGTTTCGACCTCTCAGACTTTCTGTCTGATTTTGTTTGGTACTTGATATCCTTCGGTTTTGTTGAAGCTTTACCTCGAATTTTCTTCATCGCTGTCGGGATTCCACCATTACGCTCCTGTGAGCTGCGAGTTTTTTGCGTCCGTGATGTGGTCGGCGGTAAGGTTGATAGAGAAGTTTCTTCTTCTACATTCCGAGGAATGTCTGGACCATGAAGGAGTGCCTCAGGATCAAAATCTTCGACCACTGTGACAGTCGCTAGTTGTTCCTCGTCTTCATACTCTTCTTCTTTTTCTTCCGCCCTTTCTTTTCCTTTCTTGCTAGACCCCCCTATGCCGGCCCACTCGTCCTCCGAGTCGTCTGCCCAAAGATGTTTATCTACATGAGCAAAGCGTATAGAGCGATGCACGTACCTTCCTCTACTTGTCCGCCGTAGGCCTTCTCTACTTCTGCTGCGTTCTCTACTGCCCTTTCCGCTAGAAGTTGTCGTTTCTTGTTCAAACACAGCGTAAGTGAATACATGACAGTGTAGAAGCCCAAAGCGTATGCTTACTTCTCTCCGATTATCGAGTCTCTCCTGCTTCTCCCGTTCTATCGCTTTCTTCTTGGCTGCTTCGTGTTTCTGAACTTTACGCTTATGAAACCCCGTCAAGAATTCCCTGAGGTGTTGTTAAAACTAGCGGGCCTTCAACAGAAATGGCGGACATACCTCCGCGCACCCTCGTCAAATAAGACCTCCTTCACTTGGTCTCGTTTGGCACGCTTTTTCAATGCGATTATCTTGTGAGAATTGGTTAGGATTGCTAGATTTGATGTCGCCATAATGGAGATGGTGGAGGGTGTTCGGTCTGTTGCAGCCTGTCCACTAGAGATATCTCGGCTTTGATATGCCCCTGAAAACACAAAATCAAACTTTTTATGCGGCCTGGTGGTCTAGTAGTATGATTCCTTCTTAGGGTGCTTTAACTTGGTTTGGAGGAGGTCCCGGGTTCAATTCCCGGCCAGGCCCTTTTTCTTCTTCTTCTTCTTCTTCTTCTTTTCGTACTCCCGAGGTCTCGCTCTCTTTGGCTTGAGAAAATGAAGGAAAAGACTTGACCATTTGTAATCCAAAGCGCGGACCGCGTACTAGTATTGGGATCAGTTAGTAAGCTCAAGTGCAACATGGCATGTGTACAAGGTTTTGTTTGACGCAGGCCAATCATGGTGCCACTTGACAGTAGGAAACTTTTGTTCAACACGCTCAGAAACCTGCGAAGAGGGGAGATTAGAATGCAAGACCCTGGATGCTCCCAGCATGCCAATGCGGACCCTCAACAACGTGTAAGTAAACGCCGTCAAATGACTTGAATTTTGAACTGAAACTTCCGGGATGCTATGGCCCTGCCAGACGGACTACGCTGCGGTCTTGCGCCACTCACTTGTTTCCCTCCTCCCCACCACTCCGCAAATATGGCCGCCCATCTTGGTTTAACGACTCCGGGAGGGCAATCTGTTACAATGGTATCTATCAAATACTTCTTCGACACGCTCCTGCCCCCTTTACATCCTGCGATGGACATTCGCAGGACTGTTAACAAATTAAAACGGATGGGGACAAAATCACGGAGACCCATCACCAAGCATAATCGGTGGTGGGGCTTCAACATTGACCCTGTCGAAAGGACAGCTGTCATTGACGCAACATCGTTCAAACATATGGCGGACGTAGCTCGTGACATCGTCAGAGCGGGCGCGGTGCACGGACAGGAGCCAAGTCTGAGTTTTCACAATAATCCACAACCCATGTTTTATCGCGGCAGAGATGATGTTTCTCTTCCTGACGCATATCTCGTTTTGACAAGCGTGCCGGAGACTCGAAGTACTTGGGAACAGATTGCAGTTTCAGGCGAATATGATGTCGGACGGTGGCATGAGAAAGAAGTAAGTGAACATGTCTTAACAATGTCAACCGAAATGATGTATTTGTCGTAGAACGTAGTCAAGCTTTTCGAGAGCATGCGTAAAATTATGCGTGAAGATCCTTGTCGAAGATTCACATTCGGCTTCACCATCGAGAACACGGAGATGAAGTTATGGTATTGCGATCGTTCGCAGACTGTGGCTTCCCAACCATTCAATTTCATCACAGTAAGCGTGTATCGTGGCCCTAATGTCCGTAACAAGCCTAATATTGTGTCAAGGACCATGAAACCCTCGTCCATTTCTTTCTATCGCTCGCATATGCTTCACCCGTGCAGCTGGGGTGGGACCCTACAATTGTAACCCAAGAGCATGGCCTTCAATATCGGATTACGGTGCGGTCGGCGGATGGCACGGAAAACGTCTACCGTACACTGGAAGTTCTCTCCGATTCTTCCGCATCCGTGATGCATGGTCCAGGAACGCGAGTTTGGAAAGCTGTCAAGGTCGTAGATGAACAAGACCATGGCGACCCCGTGGTGTTAAAGGACTGCTGGGCTTCTTCCAATCGCCAACGCGAAGGAACGATCCACGAGAGATTTCGAGACGCGGATTCTTCAGATGCTTTCAAGGAGGCGTTTGAGAACTCGTTTCTGACCGTTGAGCAACACGGCGACGTGACGGTTAACTCTCAACAGCCGGATCGGACGCCGATAGTCTTATCTCCGAAGGAAATGGAGAGCAAAGGTTATAAGATCCCACCGGTTTCTGCCGCTTCGAATCCCTTCATGGCAAGCATTCTATGGAAAGAGAAGCCTTATACGAACTCTTGGCCCGAGAGAAAGGTTCATTACAGAATCGTGTTCAAGGAGATTTGCAAGTCAATCAAGCATATTACTTCTCTCCAAGAAGTATTCAGGGCTTTAAGTGAAGCTTGTTCAGGTGAGGCAGGTCCAGTTTTCTTCTCCGTCTGCAGGCTCACTGAGGCATGTTGTTAGCGTTGAAATTGATGTATCAGACGGGTTGGGTTCATCGAGACGTCAGTACAGGGAATATCTTGATAGACTCCCATGGAAAGGCGAGATTATCGGATCTGGAATTTGCGAAAGATACGAACGATCAAAGCGATCCCGAGTTATGTGTTGTGCGTTTCGTTTTCCTGTATCGTCATCCTTGATGCTGAACTCGTGAGTATCCCTTAGGGTACTGCCAACTTTGTGGCGGCAGAAGTCCAATCTCAGGATTACGAATTCCGACTCGGAACTGGTTTCTCACCACTTTCCGAGTTTCGAAGGCTCACTTCTGATGAATTCCGCAAATTGCTATCGAATCTTGAGTCTGCCACAGGACCATATCCCTCTGATAGCTCCAGCCATAGAGCTATACCACAGCCACCGTTCTCCTTCCGATATAACCCATTACACGACCTAGAGTCCCTCTGGTGGATTGCAGTTTATTTCATCTTCACAACGGAGGTCAAAAACTACGCAAATATGGATGAAAAGGGGAAAGCGCGTCAGAGAAGATTGGACGAGCACGTCTTGAATTTGTTCTGCAATTTCACCCACAGGAAATTGGATATGATCGACAGTGGGAACGAACGTTTTTCGACAAGATGTCGGTGTCTCCATCCATCCATCCGTCCCATAGGCGAAGATCTGGAGCGAGCCAGGATATTACTCGCCACGACGTACCGACAATGTGAAAAGAAATATAGAACGATCACATTAGAGCCGCTAGAGGGTCTCCACGACAACATTCAGAAACTTTTTCTCAGTATTTCGCAAGAAATCGGCAAATTACCTATATTGGCGCATGTGCTACCAGCAACAAACAGCCGTCCTGAATGTAGACTCACGCCAGTGCAGTGGAGCTCCTCGTCAAGCAACAATGGCGGGAAGCGATCTAGATCCGACTCTACAGATGAGGACACAAGTGACAATGGATTTCCTGTCGCCTCGACGTCGCCGAAGAATGGTAAAAGGGCTAGGATTGAGTGCGAGCAAGTGGAATCCGACCTTCCCTGGGCTGGCATGCAAACACGTTCTAAGGCTAGGGTTCAAACGAACAATGGGCGACAGTAGATATGCCTCCCGCAACTTCTCAGTAATCCTCGTTGCTCCTTGTCAAACCATTCAAGTTGAAGATCTCCGACCTCTTCCCTCTGCCGTTTATGCAATTCCTCTGCATGCCTTCCGCAGGGCCGGTGCTATGAGCAAAGTCATGAGTACCGATATCCTTCTGGGTTGATGGCCATATTTAGAGGCTCCTACTCCTCAATATGCTGGAAACCTGTTTTGCCCTCCACGATCTCAGAGCGGAAGCCGGTTATTTCTCGACGTACAACCATCTTCTAATCCTGGAAATTGTCCTCAGATGGGTATCTTTCATTCGTTTCGGGTCAATGCGCTCTCATAGCTCTATATGATATCAATGACTGCGGCCAGACAATAGCATCTCCTTGGGCCTCATCTCTGGGTATTTTCAGCTCCTCGTAAAATCACTCATTCAAGCTATGGTCTACAGTGTAAGCACATGATCATTCAAAAAATGCACTTCACGGCACGAACCTCAGAGGAGATCGCATCAGCGTAGTGAGGATCGGCGAAGGCCCGTCAGAATACTACATCGCTGTGTTCTTTTTACAACGAAGAGGAATAAATATACTCCGAGGCATTGCTTGGTTCGCGATATGTGCGCTGACGGCGGAGGATACCAAGAGTTTGTGCAATAAGACACGTGAAAGACCGTCTGACAAGCACTGTATGGGTTACAGTATGTGCGATGATGGCTGAGAACGGAGAAAATGTGTCAACTGTCGCCCAAGCACTGGGCTTTGAGTCGGCTCACGGGAGAATTGTCGCTCATCAGTGGCTCCGGCCAGGTGCTTGTTTCTTTTCCTTTTTGACTCCGAAATTTTTTAGTTTCCTGGTCTCCTTGGCCTGAGGAAAAGACCCAACCATCTATACGTGCAAAGCTCAGATAGAACACGAGTTGAGTTTTTACACGGCATACACGGACAACGAGCCTGCATTGAACTAGTTGTTCAACGTATAATCGTCTTAGACATGGTTGCTGTGGCTTGATGTACGTCATGAGAATGATGATGGACATCAGCCACAGCTTAAAGCTCACCAGCCTCCAAGCTTAAGAACGCTGAACTGACTTACCGCTCGGGGCAAACGTCTCGAGATGCCTGGAACATCTGTTGGCGGCCAACCGTATATATGGGCCTCCCGATGCCATCATATAGCTATCATACGCCCTGGCAGACTATTGGAATAACCAAGGAAAATCCCGGACAAGCGACGCAGATTGCGTTTATCTGCGAGGGAAAAGATGCAAGTATCGGCTCGAGTTTGGTCGGTGATCGTCTTTGCATTTGTCTCATTACCGCCTTAGTTGTATGCGTTTCACCTGCAAAATTTGGTTCAATCATGATCATGTGCTGTCTCGGAGGTTTAGGCTTCTGAAAAGGGACTTCAAAAGTGAAGCTTTGAACGAGACGTCCATTCGAACGTTTAGGCATCTCGCGGCCTGGTGTTACTTCCACCGCATATTGTGAGAATTGGGTCCGTGTCCTACGAGAGATGCCCTATAGTAAAGCAGAGATGTCCTGTCAATCCGCAGAGACAGTATCAAATAGGTTGATGGGATCACCGTCTTGCTTCACCATAAGAGCTCGCCACTTCAATTAAACGACAGAATAAATTAACTCAGAAACTGACAAACATAGATGTTCATATCAACACGTTGGTATGCAGGCGATGGGTATCCATGCCAAATACTCACCGAAGATGGCCTACTGCCTAGGTCCACAGTGGAACTAGAACGTCTATTTGTAATGGTTGACCGCCGGCCGTCGACGAGCTAGATAAAGTGTGACATATACTTGGCACTGCGTATGCCTTGCACATTCTTGCGTAGCCTCTGGCAGATTCCTGGTACGTTTCGCTTTGCAGAGGTTGTTGAGATCCGCTCAAGGCGAAACAGCTGCTTGAGCTGCGCAGTGGTTGGCGTTTCTGCTAGGTTTTGTTGCGATGCATTTTGTGGAGGGGTGTCTGTGCCACAAGACGGTTGATGCACTGAGCATTGATCGTCACTTGGTTA